TATTCAAATATATTTGTATAAAAACATGTTACAAAAAGAATTTTTTATAATAAATAAAAAACTAAAAAACTTTCGTATAAACATTTTTTAAGGTATATATCAATTTGTTTGAAGTGTTTTTTTATTTTTCAATATTGTTCTTATTCTAAATTTATATTTATAAATTTTATTATTTTATCCTATTAATAAATCATTGTATCCTTCATCTTCAAAATTCTCATAACAATCTTATATAATTAATAAGGGCAAATTATTTGTCCTTTTAAAAGACATAAATTTAATATGATTTTAAATGAGAGAAAGATACAAACTAATATTTTTTATTTAAAATTTAAATTATAAAAAATACTTACTTTTTCTCATAATTTTTATTATTTATATCTTTTTCTCACTTAAAATAACACAATCTAATATGTTTTAAAAAGACAAACATCAAATCCAATAAATAAATAGCTTTTAGTTTTATTTTTTAAATTTTAACTTTAAATAATTTTTAATTTTAAAAAAACGCTAAATAGACTCATGCAATTTCCAAATCAATTATGGCACGGTATTACCGATCACGATATGATGTACCTTATCACACACATCACCTGTATAAAAACAACCTTTCGTATGCAAGGATTGAATTTTATTAAACAAAGTTCAAACACGAAAAATATATCACTAATCAATCATCATGGTTGTCATAATGGTTTTCCAAAAGGTCACCTTGCTATCTGTTACACACTTGATTAGAACATTTTGATAAAGGAAAGAAATTGATCCTTTTTTTGCTTCTTTGTTTTTCCTCCCAACCCCAAGGTGGGGTATAATAGAGGCAAGCATCACTGGAATGGGAACAAATAGAAGAGATCCTAATAAGAAAGAGAGAATGAATGAAAAGGTTAAAAAGGACCTACGCCAATATTTTCATATTTTTTTCATGTGCGTTTTTTTGTTTGGATGTCGTGATCGAACGAGAATTGATACTGGATAAGAAGCTCGTGGGATTGAACCCGGGGGGTGGGGGCTATATTTCTGGGAGCGAACTCTAGGCGAATATGAAGCGCATGGATATAAGTTATTCCTTTGAATGAAAGAGAATTCTGAATCAGCTTTGTCTATGAACAAGAAAGCTATAACTAATGCAACTAGGAATCTCATGGAGAGTTCGATGCTATCTCAGGATGAACGCTGGCGGCATGCTTTACACATGCAAGTCGAACGGGAAGTGGTGTGTTTAATATAATCATGTTATATGAGAGAATTATCATTATTAGCAGTGGATTAATGATAATAAGATAAGAGAAAAAAAATTTGGGATAAATAGTTATAAAATTATTACTTTTGATTCATTTTTGTATGGTTAGAATTTTTTCATATGACATAATCATGTTAAATAAAATATGAAATGATCCATTTCCTTTGTAGATACAAAAGTGTGTGTGTAATGCCCGGCCGCTTCAAAAATCAACGACTATCCCCACATACTAACACGAGACTTTTCAGTGTGTTTTTCCTCACTCGCACACTTCCCGGGAAAACTTCCCAGGAGATCACCCATCCCAGAATTGCTCCAAGTCAAGCACGTTTAACTATGGAGTTCTTCCGTTCCGGGCTACCGAAAAGCAAATGCATCTTGTTAGTATAGGTAGTACCAATTCATTCTTATAAGTCATTCTCAACTATACTGTCCCATACCAGCACAGTCTCTAGAATCCCTCTCTTTCGGGTGTTGATTCGATTCATTCATGTACCCCTGTCGCTGGAAGCCTGCCAGGAGCCGCTCCTTGTTTGTGCCCTTTCGCACCATGCCCTTTCGCACCAGCAATCACTCCCTGCCCTCGTCAGCGCCTGGGATGTTAGAGTGTGAGTGTATATTTTCTTTTTCTTTTTTTCTTCTCTTCACATAGATTGCCCTACACATATTTTTATATATGTGTAAAATAAAAAATTATAGGAAAAATATCTTGTTGAAGTATCGTCATTTTAGTTAAAATTATTATTATTTATTTTATTTAAAATAAAATAAAAACCTTTCATTCTCTCCTACTACAATTTTTATTGTATAATTTTTTTTATTATAAAAGACAGTAATTTTGACTAAAATAACACAATTTTATATTTATGTCGCTAAAAAAAATTATTTCATACAAAAAAATTGAATATGTATTACGGGTAATATATAGTTATAATATTAAAGCTTCTTTATTTTTCTCTCTCCTCAGACATTATTAGCTGACGTGGTGGAGGGAGAAAAAATAATTTTACCCTGATTATATATTATCCTTAGTACATAATTATTATTTTTGTATAAGATAATTTTTTTCATAAACATGGGAAAAATTGAACCCTTTAAAAAAATTAAAAATAATATGTCATTTTAAAAAAGAGAAACAAAATATTTCATTTTAGATAAAATGACGCCGTTTTTGTGCATAATTGGTTATTTTTTATATTTTCTCTCCTTTTCTTTCTCTCTATTCCTAATTTTATGAAGGGTATACTTACAATCATTTTTTTTACAACCTCTTACAACCATATCTTAATTTTGTTGATTTCCGTCAATCAACGGTTATCATTTATTGTGAATTAATAATTAATTCATGAGTTTAATTTGCGAAAATAATAACCGTTGATTGACGAAAATCAACATTGTTAAAATATGGTTGTAAGAGGTTGTAAAAAAAAAGTTGTAGGTATAACATTCCTCTAATAATAATAACAATTTATGCAATTAAATATAAAACAATAATAATAAAATTAATAGCAAATTATAAAAACTAAATATACTAACCTAAGATTTTTAGCCAAAAATATGGGACCTTTAAAGAACATAAAAATATAATTATGCATGAAATATAACTCCACTAACCTAAAATATTAATAATATTTTATAGCATATTCCTAAACTCAAATAATTTCTCAACTTAAATTCAAGAGATAAAAGTATTGGAGTCCCACAACAAATTTCAGAAAACTATTGATCTCAATTTTTTTTATATGATAATGACTATGGTAGTTATTTTTTTTTTTTTGGAGTTACCCAACCTTAATTATCTCTTTGAGAGGAGTTTGCTCCCTCCGGTATCCCCACGAGCTTCGACTCTTTGAGCCGGCTATGAGACTAATCCGGAGTGCGGGGGAACAGTGATGGCTAAAGGTTCAGCCCCCTCCCCAAGAATGCATTCAACGGGAATCGAACACATATTATTTAGTTTAAGTCATGCAAAAAAAATAAAATTTCTATAGAACTCTTAAGTGTGCGTACCCAATTTTTTTTATAGAACTCTTAAGTGTATCTAGTTAATTATATTCTATTACATTATCGCCTTCTTTTGGATTATTATTCCTTATTGATTGTATGAGATAACCATTGATAGCATACCTGATTTAAATTCTTTACTAAATATTGTTTTTTTAAATAAATATTATTTCTAATGGGAAAAATAAAATCGAGACACAGTTTGTAAATATTAAATGTAAGTATCTTTGATATTTAATAATAATAGTAGAAATATGTTTGATGTAATTTATTATGTTTCTAAGTAAAATATAGTTTCACCGCTGAGTTAGTGGGGTTGGATATGTGTTCGATTCCCGCTGAATGCATTCTTGGGGAGGGGGCTGAACCTTTAGCCATCACTGTTTTCCCGCACTCCGGATTAGTCTCATAGCCGGCTCAAAGACTCGAAACTCGTGGGGATACCAGAGGGAGCCAACTCGTCTCAAAGAGATAATTAGGGTTGGGTAACTCCAAAAAAAAATATAGTTTCTAGAATTATTTAATTTCTGAGAATATATTAGGTTAATGTGGAGTGTCAAGGGTGCGTTTCGAAAATTTCTCTTACAAGATTTTCTAGTTAATTTTTTTTTCTCAGTTAATTGTTATCATTGTTAATCGCCTTGACCATAGGAAATTTAGTGTAGTGCATTCAATAATTTTATCCGTAATCCTAACGAACTGAAGTTAATTTAGGTAACTATTAATCAAAAGTCAAAAAAATAATATATTACTTGGATAAAATCTTATAAATTATTATTAAAATCAAAATTCTCATCAAAAATATTAAAATCAGGAATTTAAATCAAGTAATTATTATCTACCAAAAAAAATAAAAAATCTGGCAAGTATTAATAAAACGTTAAAAAGATAATCAATTATATTGAATCAAATCCGGAAAAATATTATGAAAATAAAAATTCTTATCAAAATAATAAAATCAAAAATTTAAATTAAGCAAGTATTAATAAAGCTGTCAAAAGATAACACATCAAATCAAATCAAATATGATCAGAAATAATTATTAAATCTAACATTAACGTTGAGCCTATATTTCCCGTATTATCCCTCACGTTATTGAAAGAGGATTTCCCCATTCATTCAGATTCAGGGGCATATATGTCGTCATCTCTAATTTCAAAGCTTCCTTCCGAATCTTTCATCAATGCTTCCGAATCTTTCAAAGCTTCCAAGTGTAATTTTGGTGCAATTCCTAAATCTTAGTGAATCGAACACATCATCATCTGCACACAAATTTCATATCTTTCAATTGAGATCGCTTTCGATTGGAATGGGAAGTTACTACATCTACATGGTCATCGATGTTCTTAAGGAGAGCATATCACAATCACAGGTTCCTTCTCTATCTTCTTATTTTCACACTTTCCGTTTGCATTTTGTTGTTGTCTGAAAAACTACAGTTTCCGAAAGATTAGATTTATTCAAGTCATATCTTCTTCTTTTTTTATTACAAAATCATATCTTTTCAAGAACGGAAATCAAGAATTACAAGAATGAAATCAAGAATTATTAACGTTGAGCCTATACATATATAAGCACAGTTCGATACTGGTTACTTCACATTCATAACACAACTCACCTAAATCACACTGCAATTGCAACGGCTTCTTTCTCCTTTTCCTTTCCCTATGCCATCCTTCCTCTCCAAGAATCCAACATCGACAACCATGACGACAACCACAACACAAGCACGGATAGCATCATCATGCTCAGCATGTCAGATAACAGAAGCTGTGAGAGGAAGAACATGTTCGATGAAGATGCATGGTGTGTTGGTTCTTCCAACAATTGGCTCATGCTATTTGGCAGGGATGGTTACCCTTTTCTTCTTCATCCCTCCTCTGATTCTTTCATTCTGTTGCCACAATTTCCCCATTCATTCTTGGCCTTCAACATCACACATTCCTATTTTGCCGAAGCCTTGAGGAAAACCTTTGTAAGCAAGTTTGTGTTCATGGGTTCTGCCTCTCCCTCTCACTACTTTCTTGCCATATTGTATGGACACCAATGCAAGCTTGCCTTGTTTGCTGCTGACTCGTGGGTGGAACTCTCTGATGCACAGGGCTGTTATCGTGACATTGTGTTCGTCAACAATTATCTCTATGCTTTGGCAAAAGACGATTCTGTTGAAGGATGGGATCTTTGTCACAAAACTCCAAGAAAGAGGTCTTGGATGTAAAGCCGACCATTTAGAAAGATGAGGAAGAATGCAAAGAATTTCCAAGAGATAAGTTTTCCACACAGATATACTTGGTGATATCAAAGGGAGAGTTTCTGTTGGTGAAGAAGTATATTGGGAATTTCGTGGACGCTGATGGGGTGGTAGTAGATGAAGCATACATTTTGTCATCACTTGGTGTCACACCTTGCCCTTACAGAACAAAGCATTTTACTGTGTATGCACTTGACTTTGGAAAGATCAAGTGGGAAAAGAAGAGGATCTTACTCGATCAAGCTCTATTTGTCGGCACCGAGTCTAAATCAGTGCCTGCGGCTTTATCAGGATGTCAAGCAAACTCCATTTATTTCACAGGTGATAGGTTGGAAGAGATGGATTTAGATTGGTCTTATGGTGGTAACTGTTATGGATATGAATATCATATCACAACTACCTATCAGAATATCTGATGAGATACAGAGTCATCAACATCTCAACAACTCCAAACAGCCAAAGAGCACAATATAAGGATCACATTCCAACAGAAGGGGAGTTGAATCCTACTACAATTGGGGAATCTCAAAAGGCCCAAGCCTAGGAAGGTAATCCTATAAATAAGAGCCTAAAGACCCCAGGTAAACACTCAGAACTCATTTACTACTTCTGCCCACGCTGTGCACACACCCACCTCCTGGCTATAAGCCTATTGCTTATGCGCAGTGATTGGGACCTCGGCTATAAGCCTAGTATACAGTTGATATACACTATCTCTGAGCGCATACCGTACGGTATAGCAATGCGGTCTATCCAGGACCTAACATTGGCGCCGTCTGTGGGAACCGATAAAGTTCGACCCCCCATTCCACGATGACGAACACCCGTTCGACATCTAGCACCGCCCAAATGCCGCCGCATCAATCTCAGCCTCAGCCTTATGGCATGCCTCAACACCAATCTGCATTGGAACAACTCCAATTGGACGCGAACCCGGTGCTGGTAGAGGTGCAGGTCGGCGAGATCGGCACTCAGGGACCAACCCCCAGAACCCAGCTTAATACGACAGTGGCCTCAGTTCACCCACCTCCACACAGTGAGCCACCGCGGGACGTGACCACGATGGCCATGAATGCAATCCTTCAAAGACTGCAAGAGATGGAGAATAGATTCCTGACCCAACAGCGACTAGATGCCCAAAGAATGGCGACATTCGAGGCCGAACTGAGAAATCGTAACGTGGAAGGCCAACCCAGAGGAACCGGTCAGGTCGCAAACGACGGACCTCAGCATGAGAATGCTGGAGGCGTCCAACATCAGAATGCTGAAGACCTCCGACATCAGAATGCTGAAGGCCAACCTGGAAGAGATGGTCGTGCTGTTGATGGTGGCCCGCGACATCAGAACGCGGCCACAGCGGAAGGACACGCACAAAATGTGCAGATCCCAAACTTCGGAAACGACCGGAATGGTGGAGGCCCGAACGACAACCATGACGAGAACTACCTAGATGATGAGGAGGCTAATGATAGCTCATTCACTGAGAGGCTCATAAACCTGGCTATACCTCCGAGATTCAAGAGCACCAGGATACCTCCGTATGACGAAAGTCAGGACCCAGAAGCCCATTTAGCGGCTTTCAAGACAGAAATGTTGTTCAACGGGATCACTGGACCTATTAAGGCCAGAATCTTTGCGACAACATTGACTGGTCAGGCGATGACCTGGATAACCAGGCTCCCCAGGAACTCAATCGACTCGTTTGAGGACCTAGCCCGGACTTTCCGACTGAACTTTGCAACAAGCAAGGTGCATCCAATGCCAACCTACGCTCTGGGAAGAATTCGGCAGAAAGAGAATGAATCGCTGAGGAAGTACCTCGACCGGTTCAAGGATGTCGCCCTCAAGGTCCGAGGTTTAACTGAAGCGGTGCACCTTCACTTAATCATCTCGGGATTAGATGGTGACCCTCCACTTGCGAGATCAATACTCTCCACTTGCGAGATCAATCTATAAGAACCCGGTGAATGATCTGGAGGAGTTCCGACGAAGGTCGGATAAATACATTGATGTGGAAGATATGCAAAAGGTCTACGTCGAGTCTAGAGGGCGAAGTCCGACAGGTCGGAGCCCGAGTAAGAAAAATAACAAAGAACGGGACCAGAAAGGATCCAAAAAAGGGAAGGATTCTCACGATAAGAGGTCGGACGATCGATCTCCAAGAAGGAAGTATGACGACTACACATCCCTGAACATGTCCAGATCCAGGATATGGAAAGAGGTGGCCCAGACTGAGATGCGCAACGTCGAGAGACCTTGACCACTCAAAGCCAAGAGCGGGCTGGACAGAAACAAATACTACGGTCACATCACGGATGACTGTTGGGACCTTCGAGATGCTATTGAAAAGCACGTCAGAGAGGGGAAGTTGAAGCAATATATCATCCGAACACAGGGAAAGAAAAATAATAAGCGAAGGCTAAGAAGCCGAAGCAGAAATCGAAGTCCGAAGAGAGAAGACAGAAAGGATCAAAGACAAGACCGACCTGCCAAAGGCAAAGAGGTCGATGATAAGGACGAGGCCTTTCCTGAAGCCGAATTCGAATGCAACGTGATAAGTGGAGCTCTAGGCGGGGGAGGAGACTCGGCTAACGCCAGAAGAAAGTACCTAAAGGAGGTCATGTCTGTAAGAGACAGGCCGACCTTTAAAGGGAAAGCCAGCAATCCTGCCCCCCCAATACTGTTCTTCACTCAGGAGGAACTAGCAATGGTCGTACCTGGACACACTGACAGATTGGTGATCACTGGAGTGCGAGTCAACTGCCGGGTTAAGAGAATCTTCATTGACCACGGAAGCTCGGCAGACATAATTCTTTGGGATGCTTTCCAGAGGATGAACCTAGATGAGAAGGACTTAAAACCATGTGTCACCGAGCTGGTCGGGTTCAACGGAGCGGCGTCCCCTCCAAAAGGCTACATCGACCTAAAGTTGACCTTGGGCACGAAGGACTCGTTCCGAGCTGGAAGGGTTCGTTTCGTCGTGGTGGACACCTCGTCTTCATACAACGTGATCATTGGCCGGCCTACAATCCATGAATGGGATATGCTGATCTCCACTAAACATCAAGCATTGAAAATGCCTGGGATGAACCACGAGATCGTCACCATAAGAGGTGATCAAGAAGAATCAAGAAAGTGCTACTATGAGACTCTACGAGTCCATCATGGAGGTCCATCATCTCCACCTCGGCTTAAAGAGGGAGGAGTTAAGGACCAATCACTGAAGGCATGTGGAAGCGAGGTCAACTTGGTGGAACTCGACGTGAGAGAGGAGCTCCTAGCACCTCGTCCAGAACCCCAAGGAGAGCTGGAGGATGTCGATATTGCGGAGAACGGTAAAGGGCATACCAAGCTGGGAAAAGGCCTAGATGCTGACTTCAAAGAGGAACTGGTTTCCTTCTTAAAGGAAAACCGCGACGTATTTGCGTGGAAAGCCTCGGAGATCCCAGGAATAGACCCAACTTTCTGCTGCGCAAGCTCTCCATGTACCCCGGATCACAGCCAGTGTCCCAAAAGAAGAGGAAGATAGGATCCGACCGATGTCAAGCCTTGAATGAGCACGTCGACAAGCTGCTAGAAGCCAGATTCATCAGGGAAATACAGTATACCACTTTGCTGTCTAACGTGGTGATGGTAAAGAAACCAAGTGGGAAATGGAGGATATGCGTGGACTACACCGACCTCAATAAGGTCTGCCCAAAGGACTCATACTCCATGCCGAGCATCGACCAGCTAGTTGACAATTCGTCAGGATTTCAGCTACTGTCATTTATGGATGCGTACTCTGGGTACAACCAAATCCCACTACACCCTGACGACCACGAAAAAACTGCCTTCATCTCTGAGAAGGGAAATTTCTGCTACAACGTCATGCCTTTCGGTCTCAAAAATGCAGGAGCGACATATCAGCGGATGATGAACCTCGTTTTCCAAGGGCAAATTGGGAGAAACCTAGAGGTATACATCGACGACATGATTGTCAAGTCGTTGCACATATCGGCACACATAGCCGACCTCAGAGAAACTTTTGAGCAACTGAGAGCTCGCAGGATCAGGCTGAACCTGGCAAAATGTGCTTTTGGGGTACCAGCTGAAAAATTTCTGGGCTTCATGCTTACCAACCGAGGAATATAAGTGAACCCCGACAAATGCAGGGCCGTCCTTGAAATGAAGCAGCCCGAAAGCAAGAGAGAAATCCAACAGCTCACAGGACGTCTGGCGGCCCTGACCAGATTTTTGCCTAAATCGGCAGAGAAGGCTTTGCCTTTCTTCAAGCTCCTCAAAAAGGAAGCTGAGTTCGGATAGGGAGAAGAATGCAAAAAGACATTCGAAAATATTAAGAGTGGCCTTGCCACCCCTCCTGTACTGTCGAAACCAGAGCCCGGAGAAACATTGATTTTGTACTTATCAGTGGGGGAAGAGGCCATCAGTGCCGCCTTGGTACGAGAGACAAACAAAGCACAACAGCCGATATACTTTGTAAGTCGAACCTTGCAAGGATCTGAGCTTCGTTATCAGAAGCTCGAAAAAGTCGCATTTGCCCTGTTTACCACAGCAAGGAGGCTCCGACCTTACTTCCAGAGTCACCGAGTCATTGTGCGAACAAATTAGCCCATGAGGCAAGTACTTCACAAGCCGGACCTACTGGAAGAATGATCAACTGGGTTGATGAGCTCGGCAGGCGATTAAGTCTCAAGCATTGGCCGACTTCATCTTGGAGCTAACCCCATCCAATGAAAAGGGAAAAGGGAATGAAGATCTCTGGACAATACATGTTGATGGATCCTCGAACTCTAATGGGAGTGGAGCTGGGGTGATCGTTGAAACCCCGGAAGGAGTGTCCGTTGAGCATTCACTTCACCTGGCATTTCCGACCTCCAACAACCAAGCTGAGTACGAGGCGTTCATTGCCGGGATCGTACAAGCGAAAGAACACGGGGCTAGAAAGATAAAAATCATGAGTGACTCGCAGCTGGTTACCTCACAAGTTGAGGGAAAATATCAAGCCAAGGGTCCCCTCATGATGAAGTACCTCCACAAAGTTAAGGAGCTGCTAGCCGAGTTTGACGAGGTAGTAATCCAATATATACATCAGAATGAAAATAATAGGGCCGACATCCTATCCAAACTCGCCAGCTCAAAGGGCTCAGGAAATCATCGCACTGTGGTACAACAAAGCATCCTGGAGCCGACGTGTGTCATGGTGATAACCGAGACTGAGGATTGGAGAAGGCCAATAGTGGCCTACCTAGAGAAAAGGATCCTGCCACGAAACACAAGAGGCCAGAAAACTCGTGAGGAACTCGGTCTGTTTCACCATAGTGGAGGGACAACTCTACAAGAAGGGTTTCTACACACCCATGCTGAAGTGTCTATGCAAGAACGAGGTCGAGTACGTGTTGGCCGAGATTCATGA